CATAATTCACGAAAAAGCTTCAGGGCTTGCCATTATTTTTTTTCTTCTTCTTGATGATTATGATGGTGATGGGGATGGGGATCCCATAGTGTTAAACACACACATATTTGATTTTCCATCAATTTTTTATTTTTTTTGGTGACTTATGACGTACAGATGAAGAAGAAACATTTTTTGTTTGTTTCTGTTCTTCTTCGGTTAGTGGATGCATCGCCAAACTCTCATAAATCATATTAGACAAGAAACGAAAAAAAAAATCGTGACTTGAGAAACTAAGAAAACTTTCTTTTTCGAAAATTACCTATCAGGTATTCCTACCATTATCATCATTTTTTCGTAGTTTTCGTTATCGGGTATGGTGATGTTTGATGATCATCATGGCCAAAGAAAAGGTTTCGAATTTGAATTTTGTTTTCACCACCATCATGAAACAAACGAAACTTTCACTCATATCTTCTTCTACTTGGTTGATTTTCGTTGATGAACACCAATCACCACCAACAACTACCAAAGAACAATAAATCAGTAAATCTCGCAAGCCAGCTATAATCGGCATGTATTGTTCATCACCATTGCTGATTTTTCATTCTTATCGGCTCTGCATAGGTATATAATTATCATTAAAGGGGAAAAGGATATTTTTCTTCTTCTGATTCGTTTTCATCTCGTTAACACACAATAGTTTCTTTTTTAGTAGTTCGTTTTTCATTGCTCCTCTTCACTTGCTTGTCTTCGATATTGTCGTCGTCGTTATCGGCCAAATTTGATGATACTTATTTTGACCATCACAATAATGATGTGTTTTTTTATTTAAAAAACAAAATTTGTTGTTACTTTCTTTTTTCGTACTTTATAAGATCTTTATAAGATGATGGACAAAACAAAAAAAAAAAAATCTTTATTGGTCACCATTCAAATTTTCAAATTTCGCTTCTTTTCTTCTTTTGTCGTTGTCGTTGTTGTTGTCATCATCATCATTATTGTCATCAATTTTAAATTCAGATTCAATCTTCTATTTTTTTCACATGTTTTCTCGCTTCTTCTTCTCCTGCTGCTCTCCTCGACTTGTTTATTGTCCTGTGATGATCAATAAATAACAAAAAGAAAGTTTTTTTCCAAAAGAAAATTACATAATTTTTCTTTGAGAAACAGTGGTCCACTCAATAAACGAGACCAATCAATGTTCAATTTGAATTTTTTTAAAAAATTTTCAAAAAGGAAAAAAAACTAAATGTTTTAAAATAGGATTTTCGTCGTTTTGCATCATCATTTTTGCGCATCTTTAGATTTTTGTTTCATCGTTTTTCTTCTTTTGCTTATCTCCATCATTAAGATAAGAAATCTTTACCGAAACGAAACGAAAAACATTTTTACCATCGATCAACTGATATTACCAAAAAAAAAGAGTAACATCGCACCGCATCACACACACACAAATATCGTTATTTTTATCGGTTTATCATTGCTTATCATCACCGGATGGTTATTTTCTTCCATTTTTTCTTCTCAACATTAACACTTCTGTGCTCATGTGACTGATGTTGATTTGGGTGATTTACAGTGAAAATCAATGAAACTTTACGTTTTTTTTTTTTTTTTTTTGATTAAATTAAGTTAGTCGGTCAGTTTTTTCGTTGATAACAGCAAAACTGGATTCACCACCACCACAGTGCAGTGTGTGGGGAAAGTCATCGGTCACATTTAAAAAAAAAATTCAACGCTCCCGATTTGATTTGATTTGAAATTATGGAACGATAAGAAAAAAAATCGAGGGGGAAAAATACCGAAAAAAGTTTGTTTTTACCGAAAAAAAAGTTTGAAAAAAACTTTTTCGGTTCAAAAACATCCCAAACAAACAAACAAACAGATAAAATGGTCATTCAAGTAACTAACTAACTAACTAGTTTTTCATTCATTCATTCATTCAGTAACAACATTTTTCTCCTTCTTTTCTTCATTCTGGTTTATCTTGTCCGATCATTGAAGACAACGACCATTGAATAACTTTAAGATGAACTATAGTTGCTGCTGCTAGACAGTGTTTCTTCAGTATTCTTCTTCAAGAGACTTCTTCAAGACCATCATCATCTTTAGAAGAAAAAAGAAGAAAAATTTTGTTCGAAAAAAAAGAGAACCAAATGCTGCTTCTTACCTGAACATATCGGGCATATGATGATGGTGATCATCATGTTGGTGGCCATCTGACACCGAACACCGAACAACAAAATCAAAAGAAAGAAAGAAAGAAAGACCGATTGGGTAGGTCGTGTGTGTGTGTGTTCAACTATGCTTTCCAAAAAGGTTATTGTCGAAAGAAAGAAGAAAGAAGAAGAAAATTGATTAATAAAGAGAGCGACCACGGTCGAATTCTCCAACCAAACACAAACACAAATCATCGTCAACATCATCATCAGATTGGTATAACCTTGGTCTTTTCGTCGATGATGATGATCGACTTATTTTTGGCTACATTTTTGTTTGTTTGAACCTTTCATTCATTCATTCAGTTTTTTTTTTGGTGCAGCTTTTGTTTGACCATTTTGGATTGTGTGTGTCTGCCAATGTGAACAAATGTCAGTTCGAGAAAAAATTCATCAAATGTTGTGTGCCAGCCTGCAAACCAAAGATTTTTTTTTCTGACCAAATGTGTGTTTGGTTTCTTCAGTGGATCGTAGTCGGGTGCTTTTTTTGTTGGAAACTTTTTCTTTTGTTTAAGTGAAAATTTTTTGGTTCAGTTTGTTCAATGAACACACACAACAGACATGAAAATCTGAAAATCCCAAAAGAAATGAAAATCATCATTTCCGATCGGATGATCGCCATCATTTGAGTGGCCCAGCTGTTTGATTTTTTTTCTTCAATTTACAGTGGTTGTTTCAAGTGAAATTTCGTTTTCCAATTCAATCAACAAAAAACCCTAATAACCAACAAGCAAAAAATGGCAAACAAAATTATCAAACTCATGAAAATCTTCGGTATAATTTTCTATATTATACAACAATCGAATAGTGTTGATATTTTTTCACCACCACCACCACCACCACCAACAACAACTATAACAACAACAATCGATTCTTCACCAACTACTTTATCATCATCAACTGATCTCCGCAATTTTTTCTCCAAATCCCCACCATTATCCGCACCACCAAAATCTTCAGCGTCCAAATCATCAGTTAATCATTGTCATCGTTGTAAAAATGGTGGCCATTTATTATCATCATTGATTATACAGGAACCGAATACGAATTGTATCAGTGGCCATTATTTTACATCTTTAAAAATAAATAATAACCACGATGACCACCATAACCACGAAGATGATAATGATCGATGTGATTGTGATTTTGTTTGTGCAAGAAAATCTGGCCAAACATGTCTTAATCCATCATCATCATCTGATCGAAATATGAATACTAATGCCTCTGGTAGTAATCATTCGATTGTAAATAGTCATTGTGATCCTTATTTAAAATTATTTTGTAATCAAACATCCAAATTATGTGAAGGTAATCAATTATTTTCTTCCATCATAATCATCTTCCATCATTATCTTCTTTAGGGCAATCAGATCAATTTCCAAAATGGACAAAACAGTCCATTGTATTCATTCATTCTGTATAAATACTGATTAATCTTTGATCTTTTTTTTTCTTCTTCTTTTCTTCTGTTTTTCTGGTTTTTGATTTTCGATTTTTTGTAGGAAGTTTATCATTGAAAATTAATCATATAAAAAATGATTCGGTTGAAATTGAATGGAAATCATTCAATAATCGAAATCCAGCTAGAATAAATAATGAAATCTATCTTGCCCATTATGTACCACAACCATTAAAATTACAATTTGATAAAATTAATGTAAGTTTTTTTTTCATTTCTAAAATCGCATTTTTCAAAATCGCATTTCGCATTTTGTTTTTCAACCAAAAACCATTTTCACATCGTTAAAACATTCGCATATTTTAACCAATTATCATTATCGTTATACTTTTATCACCTTTTTTTTCTCTCCAAAAACTAGTCAAATATAACCGAACTAAATAATAATAATAATGGACATTATCAAACAAGATTGAAACGATTAAAACCAAATACCAATTATATTGTAAAAGTTATCAGTAATCATCGTGAAGAATTATCAATCTTCACTACCAAAGGTATTATTGTTGTTATCCTAATTTGATCATTTGATTCATTTTCTATTGTTTTTTCTTTTTCTGATCTTGATAATTTTCTGTTTTTATCTTTTTCCATCTTTCACTCGGTTCAATGAACATGTGATATATGTGTTTTGGTGGTTGTTTGGTTATTTTTATCATTTTCACCTTGTTCCCATACTCCAAATCAAATCAAACATCAAAAATCAAAACATCACCTTCAAAACACCTTTGTAATTTGTAATTTTAATTATAATTATAATTATAATAGCCAATATATTACCTGAAATATTACCAAAAGTATTAGTTACATATCGTAATGCATCATCGATTACAATTGTATTTGATGATTTTAAACCTGATTTGGATACTGGTTATGCAATACATTATCGTCCAATCAATAATAATAATGGTTTTTTACACCATCATAGTAATCAATGGTTAATAATAAAATCAAATGGTAAACCATTTTATACGTTAACTGGTTTGAAACCAAATTCCCCGTATATGATACAAATATTTACATGGAATGATTCTAATGATCATAAACAAATATTATGTTCAGAAATTATTGAAACAAATACTGAAAATGGTTGTTTTTATCGTAATCGTTCATATGAATTAAATGAAATCATTTCAAATGATTGTGAACAAATTTGTCAATGTAGTATTGATAGTATTGTTAATTGTCGTAAACGGTATGTTATATATTCATTTTTTTACCTTCAAAACACACCTGAATTAACCTGGATTACACTTGAATTTTTTTCCATCAACCCTTTACCCTTTCTTGATTTTGTTTTTTTCATTTTGTTTAATCCAGTTGTGAATCACCATATTTATCCATAAATGAAGCAAAAAAAACTAATCTTAAATGTACATTTGTAACAATAAATCATAATGATTATGATGATGATAAATGTTGTTTACAATGTATGAATGTAGATGGTGATCAACAAAATAACCATTTAGCATCATCACAAGCATCATATTTACTGGAACATGAATCACAATCAACTGAATTTGTTGGTAAACCTGGAATTTGTCCAACAATCAACAGCGAATTGAATTTGATTAGTGATGGTCATAGTGATAATCAAACAACATGTATGAATGAATGTCAACATGATTATCATTGTACAGGTGTAAATAAATGTTGTAAAAATTATTGTGGTTTATTATCATGTCAGATGCCTATAAATTATCATCAACAACAACCGCAACCAAAACAACATTCGACCATCGTCAAAACTACCAATAATAATGATGATGATTGTCCACTAAAATGTGACCCAAATTCACAATGTCGTTTCATTGAAAAAGAATCGGCTTATCGATGTATTTGCCGTGACGATTATAACAACAACAACAAAAAAGATGATAAAATGAATGGTTGCCATCACTTTGATTATAATGATGGTCATGGTGATGGTGATGATAAAAATCAACGAAAACATCAATGCCAATTTCAAAATAAAACCTATCATATTGGACAAACATTTGAATATGATTGTTCAATATGTCAATGTTCGGAAGCATTAGAAATTGAATGTAAACGTAAATGTATTGATTATCTTTCGGAACAAAATATACCGAAAAATTGTCATCTTATCGATGATATTTATGATCCAATTTGTTGTAAAAAACAAATTTGTCATCATTATCATTATTCATCGGCGGTGGATGATACGAAAAATATTTCCACTACATGTCATCATTCAAATCAAACATATAATGTAAATGAAACATTCAATATTGGTTGTGAATTAAAATGTCTATGTCAAACAAATGGACAGATTGAATGTCAACCACGTTGTTTTGATGATAATAATAATAATGGTTATCATGAACAATATTGTCATCTACGTCCAGATCCAGATGATCCTGATTGTTGTAAAATATCAATTTGTGATTATAATTCAACAATTACCGAACCAAAACTTTTAATCGAAATGGCTGAATCAATAAATTCAACTGCCATTAAATTTCGTTTGTTATTGTTCAATTTAAACAACAATAATGATAATGATGATGATAATTTAACCATTAATTATGGACGATTTAATCAAACAATCGAATCCGATAATATAACATATCAAAATGAAATTATAACGAAAAAAATGCAAACAATTATAACAAATGATTCGAAAGAAATTTTACTTACAAATTTACAACCAGAAACAGATTATTCAGTTTATTTTCAATTGAAAAAATATCAAAGTAATACGGTTGTTGTACGAACATTCCCGAATGGTATTGATCATACATTTAAAGGTTGTTTTCATGGTAGTGATATTATACAAGTTGGTGAAATATTCTATGATGGTGATTGTGAATTTAAATGTATTTGTAAAGAAGGTGGTATACGTGATTGTATTGAACGTTGTCCAATATTTGTTGATTTGATTGGTTTGGAAAATTGTCATATGATACAATCACCGGATGATTCTTGTTGTACGATACCAATATGTGATGGTAATAATAATGAACAACAACCATCGATACAATCGATACCGAATGGATGTTTATCTGAAAATGGTAAACATTATCAAATCGGTGATCAATGGACTAATGGTGATGGTTGTATGGAAAAAACCTGTACATGCATGTTTAATAAATTGAATAATACTACGGAAATTAAATGTAAAAATCACCATTGTCCAGAAATATTACCATCAATACTTAAACCAAACGATGATTGTCCAAGTCCAAAATTAATACAAACAAATGATCCATGTGTTTGTCCTTATGTTGTTTGTGAAAATAATATTAATCGTAAGTATTTTTTCGGTTTGTTTTTCCTTCGAAAATTATCTTTTATTAATCGATCAATCAATCAATCAAATTAGCACTGGATATGCCAAATCTAACGAATGTTTTGCTACCTACAATCAAAAACAATCAAAATTATTGTGAATTTAAAGGTAATAAAATCGGAATTGGTGAAGAATTCTATGATAGTTGTCGTGCAATTTGTTTATGTAACATTAATCGTACACTTGATTGTCATCCGATTCAATGTGAACATAATAATTTTGGTCCACATACAACCAAATGTTTGGAATGGGAAATTGATCCATTATTCGTTCCACGGCCACCGAATTGTTGTCCTGAACCGAAATGTAAAAATGGTAAGTTTGACTGAATTCTTTGAATTTAAAGTTGAAAATTCTGTTGTTTTTTATCGATTCTATTTCCACTTTAGATGGTTCATGTTCATATGCTGGTATTCGTTTTCCAAATTATCAAACAATACCACAAGAATTATTACCATGTCATAAACGTTGTATATGTGATACGGGTATGGTACGTTGTCGGAATATTTGTCCAGATGTACCGGATGAACCACCATTAGGTTTACCATGTCCAAAATCATTAACATTTCGTGGTCATTTACCCGGTGATGATTGTTGTATTCATTGGCAATGTCGTGAACAATATAATCATGATGATAAAATTTGTAAGTTTTATTTTATAAGTTTGCATTAATTTTATCTTTGAAAAAAACTCATGTTTTAGATGGAAAATGTTCATATAATGATAAAATTTATAAATTGGGTGAATATTGGGATGATAATCAAACCGAAATACATCGTCGTTGTCAATGTAAAATAACCAATGGAATTTTACATGTTTTATGTGATCCTGGTTTATGTCAACCAATTACGGAAAGATTTCTGGAACCAACTGCTGAATGTCGTACGCCAACAGTTGTTACACCAAAAGATGTTATAATGTGTCCATATGTTATTTGTAATAATACCGGTAAATATGGTGATGATTTAGATCATTTGGATATTGTTGCTATAAATGCTACATCAGTACGTATTCGTTTTACAATACCATCCATTTATGTTGGTCTATTGGGACATGCTGAAGTACATTATACAACCGATATAAATATACCAAGAAATAAATGGAATATACAGAAATTTGCCCGGCCAAAACGTTTATTCGATATACCAAATATTGAATATCATTTGGGTAATCTACAACCGAATACAAATTATTTTTTACAAATTGAAATTCTTATTGAATCATTAAAAACTGGACCGATAAGTGAAATTTATAAAATTTTCTTACCACCATTACCACGATCAATATCAACAACAATAATGTCGACAACAACAACAACAAGTACATTACCACCTGTAATTATGTTGGATATGAATTTAACAGCAACAATTATTGATCATAATTCATTGAGAATTGAATGGCGACCATTTACACCTCAGGAAAGAAAATTTATTGATGGTTTACAGGTTCGATATAGGAAAACTGCTCAAACACAAACTTCATCATTGCCATTATATGACAGAAATAATGACGATAATATTTGGCTTAGCAGCCAAATATTACATCGTGATATAACATTTTATGTTATAAATAAATTAGAACCAGAAACATCGTATCTAATTGATCTACAATTTCAATCAATCGATCAAATTAATGCAAATATAATATCATCGAAACCGATTTTGATTGAAACACCATCACCATCATCAACAACATTAACAACGGGTATTGATAATTTTAATTTTCATATTTTACCCGATGATGTTTCAATCGATAATGGTCATATTAATATTGAACTGAAAAATTTACCAAAACCATTAAATAAATTTATAAATGTTGGCCGTATTCATTATCAAAATATTAAAACTATGGATACATTTTATCATTTTGTTAATATTGATGATGATGATAATAATGAAAATGGAAAAATATCATTTTCAAATCTTTTACCAAATACAAGGTATGCATTCAGAGTTTAATTTGATTTTTTTGATTAATTTCTTTCTTTCTCGTTTCATCGACATCATTTTGTCGCCCTTTGACAGATATAAATTATGGATCGATTTATATTTAACCAATGGTCAAATAATTACATCCAATACTATTGACCTTATTACTAATTTTGATTCAAATCTTTTTAAAGGTAAACGATATACTGAAAACCTGATTTTTGCTGATTTCAAACTTTTTAATCTCCTTATCCCTCTCTCTCGCCCAATTAAAAATAGATAAAAATGGTGGCGCGGCATCATCATTGATGAATATCACTAATTCATCATCTCGGTATCTATTCGGTTTGACAATATTATCGATATTTATGTTTACTGCTGGTACAATATTTTTCATCATAACCTGTATTTGTTTACGTCGTCATTCGACAGCGGCTATTACTCGTGTTTGTATTTCCGAAGCAGCATATGATAATCCTACTTATAAGGTATAATGATGATCACGTGACTTGTCTTCATTTTTTTGTAAAAAATTTTGTAATTTTTTTTTTTAAATAGACATTCGAAATGAAATCGGATACAAAAACTAATCTAAATAATCTAAATCATCATCATCATCATAATGGCGATTCATCATCATTAACAGCAACAACATTAACAACAACAACAACAACGAATGGATGCAATTCAGTTGTTTGTCCTAAATAAAATTCTTGTCTAATTTTTTTTTTCAAATTTTTTTCTACCTAAAAAAACCAAATCTTTGTATATTTATTCATCATCGTTTCATCTCATTTATGAATGACCCTGATTTTTGTAAATTTTTTCATTCTTTCTTTCTTTGTCCGGTGGATAATTTGAAATTAAAAAAAAAAATTTCTTTTTCTTTCTTTGAAAAAACAATGAATTTTATGATTGAAATGGATGGATGGATGGTTAGATTGATTGATGGACATTGTATCATTATCAAAATCAAAATCATTTTAACTTTTTTTGAAATGATGAATAATTTAAGATAAAAGCTTTTAAATATGTTTGTTTGTTTGTTTTTCGTTTCGCTTCTACTTCTTCTTTCGTTTCTTCTTCGAAAAAATTAATTGAAAATTCAACTGAAAGTACGTGCAAAGAATTTTGAAAAAAAAACAAATTTTTTTCTTTCAAAATTCCGGAAACAAAGAATTTTTTTGTTGTCAAGAACGTCATCTATGAACATAAACAAAATTACAAAAATTCGAAACGTTTCGAAACATTCGAACGTTTCGAAACGTTCGAATGTTTTTGGTTTTTTAATTTTTTAAAATTTCATTTCATTTCATCTTTAAAACATGACATTTTGACGTTTTTCGTTGTTTTCGTTGTTGTTGTTTCAATAAAGGAAATTGTTCTTCTTCTTTTTCTTCTTCTTCGTTTGTTTTCAATTAGAAAAATAGATTTTTTTTTTATTATTAAATTTTCATCACAATCATCACAATCATCATCATCATTGTCCAGATCTATGACATTTTCTATAAATTTTATAGCAGGATAAAACGCCATTGAAATAATAATAATATATTTTCGTTGTTGTTGTTGTTGCTGTTCTGGATTAGAAAATGAAACATTTTTGGTTCTGTTTCGGTCAAAACAATCGTCCATATGGCTACATGGAAAACAGCAAAAAAAAAACAACAACAAAAACAACATCATCATATCCAATGTAATCAAAAGTGTCAACCGAATTGGTTTTTATTTTTCTTTTTTTTTCATTGACAAAAACAGAGAAAGAATTTGTGTACAGAATATTTTCGTTTTGTTGTATATTCTTGTCACAATAAGCTAAATTCTTTTTTTTTGTTGGTTAGAATCGAAAAAAAAAAAATTCTGCTACAAACATACAGAACACAACAGCAACATTCAAGTTAAAATAGTTGCAACTCCCCTTCAACAACAAAAGAAGAATTTTTATGATTAAATGTAATCTATCTCTCTGTGTTTGTGTGTGGTATTTTTTTCCGTTTGTTCGTTTGTTTGTCATTCTGATCTTGATTCTTCTACTTCCTTACACTTAAATGTTTTCAATGTTTTTTTTTTGGCTTGATTCTGTTCTCTGCATGTGTGTGTTTGTGTGTGTGTGTGAAGACCCATATCAATTGGTAGAATATATTATTCTGTGCTCAAAAAAAAATGGTAATGAAGAAAGTGAACACAAAACCAAAATGAAATTCTGTGGCGCATGTCATTTCAATAATCATTCTTGTGATTCTTGCAATTCTCTGCTAACTCTCTCTCTCACTCTCTCACTCTATGACTAACCAAATGTATAATGATATTCTTGGTAAAAGAATATAATTCTCAGTGAAAACAAACACACACTACACACTATACCACACTCATCTCATCTCATTTCATTCTCATCATCATCATCATATTTTGGGTGATGATAAATATATAAGTGTGTGTGTGTGTGTGTTTGTTTGTGTGGAAAAAGAAAAGAAGAATGTTGGAGAGTGAGAGAGAGTGAAAAGTTTTTCATTTTTGTGAATTACCAATTCTAATGATGATGGTCGTGGTGGTGGTGGTGGTACACTACGACAATTTTTTGGTTTCATCAGTTAAATTCTGTTGTCGTTTGTGTTTCTCGTTTCATTTCACAATTCTTTTATCGTTTTGTTTTTTGTTGCAAAACAACGAAAAAAACGATCAAAAGTCGAACAACGAAACTGGGTAAATTTTTTTTCTCGTTGTTGTTGTTGTCAGTGAAAAACAACAAGAGAAAAATTTGTTTAAAACAATTTCTGATTCATTTATTCAGTGACTTTTTTTTCAGCAGAATTCTTGTTGTTGTCGCTTTCTCATCATCATCATCATCAACATTCGTTTTTTCTGTTTGTTTGTTATTACTAGACCATGTCAATTCTTGAATTGAATGTTGAATGTTGAATTGATGAGAGAAAGTGATTCTTGAATAAATTTTTTCTTTTCTTTTATGATCGGGTGTTTGTATTCAACTAGCCATATCGTTTGTTTGATATTCATGATTGTCATCATCATCATTTTCTTTGAATTCTTTTCTTTCATTTCATTGAAAATGTGTTTTGTTTTTCTTCCTGAATGTTTATCATAATGATGACCATTTGAATAACAATTTACATATCCATCTTTATTTTCAATTTCTTCAATGATAACAACAACAACAACAAGAATTCATCCGATATCATCCTCATCAAATCAAATCAAATCAACAATAACATCACTTCAAATCATTGATTTTTTTTTCTTCATCTGAATCATTATTCATTCGAAGAAAAAAAATAACATTGTCTGTTTTGTTTTCATCATCATCATCATCATCATCGATTCTGAATTCTGTGAAAAATCTTCATTAATAATCAAATGTTTGCATAATAATAACAACCAACCAACCAACCGACCAAGAAGAATAAGAAAAAAAAAATCATGTGGTGTCTACCAATGATGATGATGATAAGCATGTGTTTGGTGTTTGGTGTGTATAAATCAAAATGATTTTTTCATTTTGATTCAATCAACACCTATTGAAATTAGAAATTGAAATGGAATCGGAATCCGAATCATCATCATGGAATAAAATAACAAAAACCAGAAAAAAATATGGTTAGAATTTGAATTTCGACAACAACAACAACGGAAAAAAATATTATTATTCTTGATTCTCTATTCTCCAATTCACACATAGAGAATCATTTCTCTCTCTCGCTGTATGAATTTATAATTAAAAATATTTTTTTCTCGTTTTTTGTTTGAAAGAATTGGCATCACTTCAATGTGATTGTAGAAAAAAAAAAAATTCTTATTTACTGCTGTAGATATATTCTTCTTCTTCTTCTTCTTCAACTTACTAAGTCTTTCATTCTCTCTATCGCTTTCACTGTTTTATTCTCTATTCTTTATGAAAAAGTTTTTTTTTCAATCATAAAATTTGTATTGTTGTTTTCACTGATATGATATGATATTATACCCTTTTTTCAACCAAAACTGAAAAAGAATTCAACGAAGAATTTTGAATTTTAAATCAAATGTTAAAAAAGAAGCCAAAAGCAGAATAAGAAGAAGAAGAAAAACATCAATAAAACTTTAAAACAATAAATAAATGTCATCATCATTGGCATTGTTGTTTGGTTTTGTTTTAATCAAATCAAAATCTTCAAAAAGTTTTTGGTCGGATGAAAAAGTCTATAAAAATTTTTTGTTTGTAAAGTTTTTATTACTTTATTAAATCTGATTTTATTTTTTTTCTTCTTACTTTGCATCAATGTAAAAAACAACAACAACAACAACAGAGAAAAGTTTTATTATCATCAATTTAATTCAATTTGAATTCAATCAATTGTTGAGATATATATTTGTCGCCGTGTATTATCACCATTATTATCACCATTATTAACATCATCATCATCATAGTGTATTATCATCACTTTTACGAAATGGTAATATAATTATCACCACCAACTTAAATCCACCGCATCCGTTTTTTTTCATTCATTTTGTTTTATTCAAACAACATTCCTCATCAAAAATCATTTTATTTTCGCATATTTTTCGCATTGTTTTTTTGCTTTTCGGTTTTTTGCCGAAAAAAATTCAAAGAAAAATTCTTCTTCTTCGCCTGTAATTTAGTCGTTATTCAGTATATATTCGCCTCTCTTTTACATCTCTATTTTATTTTCTTCTTTGAAGATTCTGTTTGTCTGTGTGTGTGTGTGTGTTTGCGAAGAAGAAACACTTTACACACATGCCATCAATGTTTGTTTTCTAAGAGATTTTTTTTTTCTCGCTGTGTTGCCTCCATATTATCATCATCATCATCATCATTATTATTAGTCGTTTGTAACCATATTGTCTCTCTACTGTATATTCTTGGTTATAATAATAATAATAAAAATCACTTTATTCAAGACAAACATTGCCCGAATAGAATCTTTCGTTTGCTTTGTTTCTGTTTGTTCGGGAAAAGAATTCACTTATCAAGAATAAAAAATGATTGGAAAAATCTATTTTATATTCATTTCTAATTCAGAATATAGGAATTATGAATGAAACAAAAACAAAACAAAAAAAAATGATGCGGATATTTTTGTTGATTATTTAATAAATTTTCATCATCATCATCATCGATGTTCACATACATCACACACACACATCAAATCATGGTTGATTGAAAACAATGTGGCCAAAAAAATATCGATACAGTAAAATTTTCTAACACAAATCATCCACTGTGTCAAAAATAATAACGACAAAACAGAAAAAACAAAACAAACATCGATTATATCGATTATCGGAATATCGAATTTCAGAATTTTTTTTCAATTCAACACAAGAGAAAACATGAAAAATGATGAACAACGATAATCAACAACAACCGGTCAAATAACAAGATTTTTCGTTTTTCTTTTTTCTTTTTTCACCATCACCAGCATTTCGAATCAAATTTCATTTTGTTTGGTTGCAAAATCTTTTCGAAAAATTCTCAAAATTCATTATCATCATCATCATCATCATCATCTTTAAGTGCTAAAACTTTCTTTCATCATTATATTTTCATAATATTTTTGCAGAAAAGAAAATTATGGAAAATCTAATCAAATTATCATTTGTAAAATATTTAATCATTATCGTTATTATAATTAACTGCCAATTAATTGGTCATGTATTTGGCCGTCGTAATAAAAATATTAGTGATGAAATAGAATTAGAACCAGGTACAATACGTTGTTCACCTGGACTAATTATCCCAGTATGGGAACCAACAACAAATTTAGCATTAGGTGATATTATTGCTCGTGGTGTTATTTATTTTGTTATACTTGTTTATATGTTTGTTGGTGTATCGATTGTTGCCGATAAATTTATGGCTGCAATCGAAGTTATAACATCACAAGAAAAACAAATTACTATAAAAAAACCAAATCGTGAACCACAAATAATCAGTGTTCGTATTTGGAATGAAACTGTTTCCAATTTAACATTAATGGCATTAGGTTCATCTGCACCGGAAATTTTACTTTCAATTATTGAAGTTTATGCTCAAGATTATCAAGCCGGTGAACTTGGACCCGGTACTATTGTCGGTAGTGCAGCATTCAATATGTTTGTTATAATTGGTATTTGTGTATCGGTTATACCAAATGGTGAATATAAAAAAATAAAACATTTACGTGTATTTTTTGTTACAATGATATGGAGTGTTTTTGCCTATATTTGGCTTTGTTTAATATTAACATGGTCATCATATGGAGTGATTGAAATTTGGGAAGGTTTAGTTACATTTATGATGTTTCCAGCAACAGTATTGACTGCATATATTGCTGATCGTCGTCTTTTAGTTTATAAATATTTATCAAAAAAATATCGTATGAATAAACGTGGTATGATTGTTGGTACTGAAGGTGAAGATTTAGAATTATCACAAACAACTAAAATACATAATCATCATTTAAATGATAATAATAATGGTGTTTTTAAAACATTTGAAGAAATTGATGATGAAACAAGAGAATTTGAAGAACATCGACAAGAATATATGCAAGTATTACGTGAAATAAGAAAAAAACATCCATCAGCATCAATGAATGAAATTGAAGTTTTAGCAAGAAATGAAATTATGAATCGTGGTCCAAAAAGTAGAGCATTTTATCGTTTACAAGTAAGTTTTTTTTTCTAATTTTGATTTTGTAACAATTTTGTGTTTCAATGTAATAATTTTTTTTCTAAAGGCAACAAGAAAATTAACCGGTGGAAATGTTCTAAGCAAACGACGTGTTGAAAAGAAAAAAGAGATAAAAAAATCAACAAAAAAATATGATAATACAATCAAAGTATTTTTTGATCCAGGTCATTATACAGTAATGGAAAATGTTGGTGAATTTGCTGTAACCGTTTCACGTGAAGGTGATATTAATCATTCAATTTGTGTTGATTTTAAAACTGAAGATGGTACAGCAAATGCTGGTTCCGATTATGAAGCTGTTGAGGGTACACTTATTTTTCGTAGTGGTGAAGCACATAAACAGGTTTGTTTAATTGGAATTTTTTTTTAATTTCATTTCAAATTCTGTTTGTCAAAAATAACTAATTTTTCCCCTCCAAAACTTTCAGATTTATATAACCGTAATTGATGATGATGTATTTGAAGAAGATGAACATTTTTATGTTATACTAAGTAATCCAAGATTTTTAAGCCATGATAATTTAAATGGTATCAATCAAAGTGGTAGTGTTAGTGGTGGGGCTGGTGGTACTGGTGGTGGTATTAGTTCGAATCAAAATTTACCAAAATTACAGCTAAGTACACCAGCCGTTGCAACAGTTATGATATTAGATGATGATCATTCGGGTGTATTTTCATTTTCGGAAGGACAATATGAAATATCTGAATCAGTTGGTGAATATCATTTAGAAGTTAGCCGTTATAGTGGTGCAAGAGGAAAAGTTATTTTACCATATAAAACAATTGAAGGAACAGCAAAAGGTGGTAATGATTTTATACAAACATCTGGCCATATTATATTTGAAGATAATCAAACATCGTTAGTATTAATCAATCATAATCATAATTTCATTTTTATATTTTGTTTTATTATTAGTTTTTAATTAATCGATCAATCATTTATATCATTTTATCCAACCCCCTCTCTCTCTCTCTCTCTCTCTCTCTCGAAAATAGACAATATATTCCAATCAACATAATGGACAATGAAAGCTATGAAAAAGATGTAATTTTCTATGTTGAACTTGGTGAACCAATTCGTGAAGAAGGTATCCTTTTTTTTGTTGTCATTGATGAAAAATAACATTAATTTTTTTTTTACTTCCCAAAATAAAGATTTAAATACAAATAATAATGATAATCGTGAAGCACAAACAGCAGCCGATGCTGATGAAATTGCATTATTAGGTAAACCAAAATTAGGTGAACTTTATAAATGTCAAGTTTGTATTCGTGAAAGTAAAGAATTTAAGGTAGGATCTGTTTGTGTTTTTTTTTGTTTTTGTTTCGATCTAATCAATTTTGTTTTGTTTTTTTGTTTGGAAAATTCGATATAGAGTATGGTTGATAAACTTATTTCAAAAGCAAATACAAGCATAACAATTGGATCATCATCATGGAAAGAACAATTTATTGAAGCAATTACCGTTTCGGCAGGTTTGTTTTTGTTGATTAATTTATTCCATTTGAAATTGGAATGAAAAAATAATGAGAAATATTTTTTTTTCTCATCAGGAGATGATGATGATGATGAAGAAAAGATGCCATCCTGTTCCGATTATGTGATGCATTTTTTCACATTATTTTGGAAATTATTATTTGCATTCGTACCGCCAACAGGTTAATATTATTATTATTATCATTCTTTGAATTCAATTTGTTTGATTAATTTCTTTTCATCTGAATCAATATATAAAGATTATATGAATGGATGGCTATGTTTTGTTTGTTCGATTCTGGTAATTGGAATTTTAACAGCATTTATTGGTGATTTTGCATCACATTTTGGCTGTACAAGTGGAATTAAAGATACTGTTACAGCTATTTCATTTGTAGCATTAGGAACTAGTGTTCCAGGTATGTTTAGTCTATTTAATATCTGGAAAAAAGATGACATTTATTAATGAATCTTTTTTTTTGTTTGGTATCCAAAATATAATTAGATACATTTGCCAGTAAAGTTGCTGCTCAAAATGATAAATATGCCGATTCATCAATCGGTAATGTTACTGGTAGTAATGCTGTCAATGTTTTTCTTGGCATTGGTATTGCATGGACATTGGCTGCATTTGTTAATGCATATAGAGGAACAGAATTTCGTATTGATCCGGGTAGTTTAGCATATTCGGTTACATTATTCTGTGTATCAGCTGCATTCTGTTGCCTAATATTAATGATACGAAGAAGAGCTGGTGGTGAGCTCGGTGGACCACTTATTTCAAAAACATTGACAACAATATTATTTGTCAGCATTTGGTTATTCTATATTCTAATGTCATGTTTAGAAGCATATGAAGTTATTCCGGGTTTCTAGATGAAAAAAAAGAAATCAAAATTTTCAATTTCAAAGACTAAAACACATTCAATATATCAAGAAGACTACTGTTATTGAAACGGCGGATTAAAATCAAACTACGGGAAACTAGTGGACAACATTCGATCGTGGATTGTATATGATAAAGATTTTGTCAAAGTTTTTTTTTTTGTTGCTGTTGAAAATTAGATGATGGTTATCGATTTTATTTCAAAAATTTTTTTTTTAAGTCGACCAATCTGGCTGTAGTCAAAAAAAAAGAAAGAAATGTATTGTACGAATGTGTGTGTATTGTATGGTCATCATCATTTTTGTTCCTTGCGAAGATAATGCCAAATCATTTAATTTTTTTTTCATTGTTTTTTTTGAATTCAATTTTGTAAATGCCAATTTCATTGTGAAAACAAAACAACAAAGTGAAATTTCAATCTTCAAACAGATAAAACACACAAAACGCCCTATCAACTTGCCAAACAAAACAAAAAAAGAAAACTAAACTGAAACAACAGAGTGAGAAATAACAAAAACAAACAAAAAACGACATCGACAATTATCGATTTTTCATGTAAATATTCATTCATTCATTGAATAACATTCATTATCATTACTATTTTTTTTTTTGAAACAGAGAGAACAAAACCAAACTTTATCCTATTTATTTACTTCTTCTTTATCTTCTTCTTCTTTTTTTTGAAAATTAGTTTATTCTTTCTTTCTTTTTCCGGTTCTTTCTTTGTCCAAATTTTAGAGAAACAATTTTAAAACTTTTCTTTCTTTTGTGTATGTGTGCAATTTGCGAATCTTCTTTTCTTCAAAATTACTCAATGAACTCTTCTTTGTTTTTTCTCCTAAATTGTCCATAATGTTTATTTTTCAATTTTCTAAACAATTTTTTTCCCATTCAGTTCTATATCTAATCTTTTTTTCTTTAAAATAATCGGATTCTTTTTTGTTTCTGTTGATGACTTTGTTGTTGTTTTTCAATCTCCGCCCAATGCTATTTCAATTTATTTATTTCTACCATTAATCGCTTAGTATACCTTTTCAACTTTTTTTAGCCTTGAAATTCAGTAGAAAACTTTACCAACCAACCAACCAACCAACAACATGAAAAAGGTTTTACTTTCGTTGAAAATAATAATAATAATATTTAATTAAAATTCATTCAATTCTGTTTTATTTTGTTTTGTCAGTCAGATAATCTGGAGTTCTTTTCTCTTTTGTTCTTGTTGAATAGAATACAGAATTTTACAAACTTATAAAAAACAAACGAGAAACATTTTGGCCTTATAAATTTACTATATATATAAATATATTTTGGATTCAATCGATTTGTCGTTGTTGTCGTCGTTTATAATTATAATTATTTTTTCTTGTTAAAAATTTTTATCAAAAAAATTATAATGTTAATGTTCGTTGTTGTTGTTGTTTTTTTATTTATAAAAACAAAAATCTTGTTGAAAAGTTTGTAATTTGAAAATATTTAATACGCGATTGTAGAATTGTTGTTATTTTTTTTCTCTCTCTCTCTCTCTCTCTCTTCATTATCAAAAAATTTTTATTTTAAAAAAATTTTAAAAATTACTTTTCATTTATTTATAACATTTTTTTTCTTCTTCCATTTCCATCATTATCATCGTTCATTATCATTATAAATCGTTGTAATTTTCAGTAAAAATTATTTTGAAAAATCCTTGCGGTCTATAATTAATTGTGTGTGTTTGAAACATCTTTTCGCCCGTGAATCTCATTACAAAAAATTTACTTATAAAAATATCAGCGCCGAAAATAATAAGAATTTCAACGTTGAAACAATAATTAATAGAATATATTCAAACAAAAGTAGATATTGTTGCCATAGTAATGAATATAAAATATTTAATATTAAATTTAGACAATATAAAATCAATGGCAGTATTGATGATTGTCGATATAATGATAATAGATTAAATTCAGTTATTACGATTGAAATGAATAACGAAATTTCTAACCAAAATAATGTTTGACGATAAACAAATACTGATGCTGTATTTTATAGAAAAGAAAAGTAGAACAAAGAATAATAATCAAACAAAATGAGATAATTTCGTAAATGTAGACAAACCTTTATAGACAAAAATGATTGATTGAATAATTGAATGAAATATGGTTAAAATAAGAATAAAATTGAACGATGTTTTTGCTATGATCGTCATTTTTGAAAGTTTTTCTTTTCTTAAAAAAAAAATTGTTTCCAATATGATTCGGCAAAATGACCAGAGATCCAATAGAAATGGAAAAACAATTCAATCACCATGGTTACCATATGGTATGTATGTATGTTTACTTGTTGTTCTTGTTAAACAAAAATATTCATTTTTTCTTCATCAGGTACTTTGTTTATAATTAAACGTCCATCATAGCTTAATGATGCAAAAATCCATGGATCATTTGGTGACCATTCAATTGAATAAACACTATCAGCATGATCTTCAAATTTTTTAATTAAACCATCATCATTTTGATTATTATTTGGATTTTGATTTGATTGTTGATTCGATGATATTAATAAACGTTTTATATTAAAATCTTCTTCTTTATCTAATAAATCTTCTTGTTCAATTAATTGTCCATATGGTTGTGATGCAATTGATGATATACGTAATAGATTAACATTACCATCACTACTTGATGATAATACTAAATGATCATGAAATGAATTATAACGTACGGACCAAACCCAATGTGTATGATGTAACATTTTCAATACTGGTTTTGTTGTATCACGAATATCCCAAAATTTCATTTGACAATCATCACCACCAGTTGCAAGATAATGTTGTGAATTTGGATTAAAATCCATATCACGTATCATTTGACTATGAGCTTGTGTTATTTGCCATACATTATTATTCGATGATGATGATATTCGTAAATCTTTTGCATAAATATTATTATTACAAACAATAGTTACAATATTTGAATTAAAATGTGGACTCCAATTACAGGTGGATATTTTGGATAAACGATTCGAATGCATTGTTTTATTATTACCACCAGGATTATCAATAGTTATATAACGTTTAAGTTGTTGTGTTTCCAAATCAATATAAGCTAATTTACTTTCCAAACATAATATTAATTCATTTTCATCATCTGGTTTTAGACGAGCAATACGACCAAAATTTTCATCAAATTTTTCCCGATCAAATGTATGATATTTTTCCAATTCCAATACGACGGCATTTTCATTTTCATTTAGATTTTCAGTAATATCAATAGGTATATGCCATAATGTAAAACAATTGATAATTTTATTCGTTTCCGATAATGATGAATAACATGTTAATAAATTTTGTGGTTGTTTTGAAAATGAAATCATATGCCATATTTCACCATAACTATGACGAAATACAGCTTTTAATAATGAATTACTTTCTTCAATATATTCCAATAAATGAACATAATTTTCATTCGATTTTAATGATTGTGTACCGACAAAAAATCTTGATGGAAGATGTTCACTATATTGTGAACATAATGCACGACATTCATGATCTAATCCATAGATTAATGATGGATTTTCCGATACGGATCGCATTTCGTTTTCGTTTTTTGTTTTTGTTTTTGAAGAAAATACAAAATAAATTAATCAAATCACCAAATCATCATCGATCGAATGTTTTTTTTCTCGCCAAAAATGTACGTACATTATGATTAGGTTTCGGGATAACATGTGATTCATTCGAATTTTTTGCATTTAAAATTTTCGTTTTTTCGTTTGTTTCAACAAAATCGAAAACCAAAATTATTTTCGCCAAAACAAAAATGAGCTCACCGATTCTTGCGGATACAAATACCGAGGAAAAAGATCCAATCGAAGAAATGTTGGATCGTACTGGTTGTAAAAAGACACACATTTCTTTACAGGTATTTATTTTTTTCTTTGAAATTTCCAAAAATAATTTTTTATTTCATTCAAAACATTTTTAGGAATGTATGTATGAACATAAAGATTGGCGAAAATGTCAACATTTAGTAAATGAATTAAGGGATTGTATGTTGGAATATGAAAAACAAAAACGACCAGAATTTCAAAATATAGATGGTGAAAAATAATCTCTCCAAATGTTAATCTCTTTTTTTAATTGAAAAAAAACTTGTTAATTTTTAAAAAAAACATTTAGTCAAGCTTAGGAATAAAAAACAAAACAACAAAAATTGATTGTATTATTACTTCTTTCCATTATAATTTATTTTTTAAAAAATAAATAATTTACAATAAATATAATTCAATTTATTAAATCTATATTATCATTATAATTATAATTATTTAAATTATGTTCTTATAATTGGTGATGATGTTATTGTTGTTGTTATTGTTGGTGTTTGTGGTGGTAATGTTGTTATTGGTATTGTATTATCACAAACATTATGATGATTATCATATTGAAAATGTTTTGATGAATGTTTAAAATTTGCATTTGAAAATTTAAATGTTTCATCATGTTGTTGTTGTTGTTGTTGTTGCTGAATATAAGAACAATTATCATCCGAATAATATTCTAATTCTTCATTATAAATATCCGTATCTGGTATTAAAAATTGTTTATTATTTGTTGTCCACATTATTCTTGTCAATATAGCAAATGCTAGAAAATCTGCAGTTGCGGAAAATCCTAAAGAAATGAATGAAAACCAGAAAAGAAAATTAATTAATTTCGATATTTTTAAAATACAAAAATGTTACCTGTAATAATTTTACAACGCCACATAAGATCAATATGTATGGCAACAATAGCGACTAATGGTAAATGTACAAACCAAACTAACATTCCGGCACCAAAATGTAAATAGAATTTTAAACGTCTTGAATCTTGTTCTAACATCATTGTATGTCGTAATTCATATATAAACCATAACATTAATATTATACGAAAACCAATACTTATCCAACCGGGTGCCGTATGAAATTCATCAACTTCTTCAATCATATTTAATGATTGTTTCATCCAAATAAATAATAATATATTTATAACAATATAAATTGTAGCCATTATTAATAATATTGTTTTGGAAAATGTTTCTGGTTTTGTAAATGGCCATCCTTTTGCAATGATCAATACGAATAACATTAATAAGGCCTAAAGGGGGTTAAATAAAAAAGAAAAGAAAAGAGATTAAAATTACAAAACAAAACAAAACATTAGAACTTACAATCGACATAATTTTCAACACTTCAGCAATAGTAAATAATGTTTCAAAACCTTCACCATTTTCAGCGAATACAATTTTATGTAAACAAATGAAAAAATATGATAATGAATGTAATAATAATGAAATTGTAAATAAATAATTTAAATTTTTCATCATTTTCTGTCCGGTTAATGCATAAATTTGCATTATAATCAATATTATATAACCTAAATCAAGTAATATGAAAAACCAAAAATTTTGTTGTTCATAGGAAAATTGATAATCCGAATCGATTAATCTTGTGGATGATAAACGATTATCTGGATGACCATTTACAATCCATAAATTATATGATAATAATATTTTTTCATTTGTTTCCATTGTCCATTGAAATGATGATAATGATGATGATGTTTGATTTTTTTGATATTTTCGTTTGCATGGTAATAATATTAGATACCAAAAACTAGCATCTTTTTGTCCATCAATCATAAATGCTAATTGATAATTTGGTATATTTAAATTTTGACATTGATTATCACAGGTACCATTTATGGGACATGGTATATAACGAAAATATTCATTATCATTATTATCATTATCGTTTGATGTTGAATTATGACAAATTTTTTTTCTGGAATTTTTCGGTTGAATAACATCAGAAATATCTGAACAAAATTTCGAACCTAAATCATTCAAAGTTTGATTACAATTTGGTTGAATATTTTTCGTTTTTAGATAGATATTATAAATATGTTTAAATAGAGTACGATTAGCAAATAATAATACACCAGAATTATAGATAGGATTTTGTTTTGATTGTTGATGATTTTCACTATTATTATTATTGGATGAAATTTTTCTATTTGATTGATGATTCAATAGGGTTATATTTCCAAATATATATCCACTTGTTTCTAATCGATGATTTGGATCGGTACGTTGAAAACCAAATCTAGTTATCACCTAAAATTCGAGGAAAAATAAATCAAAAAATCAATCAGAAAAAGTCATTCAACAAAAACAATACAAAAAAGAAGATAATCCTCACTTTGAACAAAGTAGATGATGGTGACCATATTCCTTGTACATGTATACTATTGACAAATGTAAACGAAACAAGAAAAAACAACAAAAACAAAATTATGGATGAAAAATATGTCCTCGGTTTATATGATGACCGAGACATATTTTCTTCTTTATTCAATTTTCAATTTTTCAGTGTTTGTCGAATCAATTATTTTATCGCGAGAAAAAAAATCGATTTTGAAAAACAATGAGGATGATGATGATTTTTGGTCTACTACGATGTTGTCGCCAATCAATTCATTTCTTTTTCAATTTTTTTGGTTGGTGTTTTGGTTGTTATCGTTTGTTTGTCGTCAATTTCGATTTAATTAACAAACATAATAATAATGCTTGAACGTAATAATAATGTTTATTAAAAGCGGATTATAAAATTTTTTTTTGTCAACATTTTGCTTTTTTTTTTGTTGCTTATTTTTAATGAAAACAAAATCCAAAATAGCTCGACTCGATGATACCATGAATGTATATAGAAGATAATCTATATTTGGATACATTGTATAAACACAGTGTTTTTGTTTTATCGCGCTATATATACAATGTTCAAGGATTTCCTGTCATGTGATTTCGTACTTGCAATGTATTAATTTGTTTTTCGAATGTTTTGTTGTAAAAAAAAAGTCATGCCTTGTTGTTTTTTTTTTGGGATTCATTTGATAAAATTTTCATGAAAATATGGCCCGAAAACATGGAATTAAACGAAAAACAGCCATCATCAATGATAATAATGATAATGATGATAAAAAATTACAACGAAAAGAAGCTAAACATTTAAAAGATTTTGGTGAAAAACATCCAATTAATGATAAAATTCGTTTAGAAGATCGTTGTGCTAAACGTGTTTATGAAACAAATGATGAAAATGAAAAGAAAATCGATGATATTGATCAATCATCATCAACGAATATGGTTGAAAAATCTAATTTACAACCAGATTATTATGAACAATTATTAGATGTGTAAGTATAATCCGTTTTTTAATAAAAAACTTGTCTCACATTCATGATCATTTAGATTCGGTAAAAACAAAGACGTAGCACCAGAATCGGATTCTAGCGATGGTGATGATGATGATCAAATGGAATCGACAGTTCAATCTTCACAGAATGATAATGAAGATTCTGAAGAAGATTTTAATAGCGAAGATGAAGATGCCAATGATAATGATGATGATGATGATGATGAACAACAAATGAAACCAGGTAACAATATCAACGATAATTTTGTTCGTCATTTTTTTACAAATTTTCAATCAAACGATATTGAATTATTAAAAACATCAAAACAACAACAGACAATTAATCATTCATATCGATATCCAAATATTGGTACATTTATTGAATCACGATCATCGATTGAATGTTTTAATTTGATCCGAATCGATAATCAACCACCAATCAATTTGGATTCAATTCAATTGAGACCATCATTGCGTGAAAATATATCAAAAACAATGTTAAAATTAACAAATAAAAAACATCAAGCGCTGACATCATTTCAATTGGAACTTTTATCATTATTAATGACATATAAAAATTTATTCTATCCAGAACGAACAATGAATAATAGTGAACAAATTCGTCTTGTTTATTCATTACATGCATTGAATCATATTCTTCGTACACGTTCAAGAATTATTTCACATAATTCAAAAATCAAAAATAATCTTAATCATCAAAATATAATGGATAAAGAAGAATATCGTGATCAAGGTCTAACACGACCAAAAGTTCTAATCGTTTTGCCATTTAGACATTCAGCATATTTAACAGTAAATCTTATGATTGATCTACTTTTTGGTGATAATAAAGATTCGGGTGAGAAAAAAATTCATCTTATGAATTATAAACGTTTTGTTAAAGAATTTGGTCCTGGTTCAATGGATGATCAATTACGAATTAGTTCACGAAAACCAGATGATTATAAACAATTATTTGCCGGAAATATTGATGATTCATTTCGTCTGGGTTTATCATTGACGAAAAAATCATTAAAATTATATTCAGATTTTTATTCATCCGATATAATCATAGCATCACCATTAGGTCTTCGTTTAATCATTGGTGCATCAGGTGATGAAAAACGTGATTATGATTTTCTTTCCTCATTGGATATGGTTATTTTGGATCAAACGGATATTTTTCTAATGCAAAATTGGGAACATGTTCTACATTTATTTGATCATCTGCATCGTAAACCACGTGAAACACATGGTGTTGATTTTTCACGTGTAAAATTATGGATTTTAGAATTATGGTCAAAATTTTATTATCAATTAATATTGTTTACATCAATTGAATCAACAATGATAAATGGATTTTTTAATAAATTTTCAACAAATTTTGATGGTAAATTAATTATACGTAATGAAATTGATCATAATCATTCAGCTATTAATCATGTTTATATACAATGTTCACAAATATTTCAAAGATTTGAATGTGAAACATTCGGACAAAAAATGGCTGATGCAAGATTTGAATTTTTCACCCAGAAAATTCTACCAAAATTTCGTCATGATCCAATGATGATACGTACAATGATTTTTATACCATCATATTTTGATTTTGTACGTTTACGTAATTATTTTCGTAATGAAGATATAAGTTTTTCACAAATATGTGAATATTCTAAACCGGGTAAAGTTGCAAAAGCCAGGCATATTTTCTTTTATGGTGGTCGTCATTTTCTTCTTTACACTGAACGTTATCATTTTTATCATCGACCAACAATAAAAGGTATACGTCATTTGATTTTTTATGAACCACCATTATATTCAAAATTCTATTCCGAAATGATAAATTCAATGAATTATTCAAATCAAGGTAAAAAAATGTTTACCGATTATAGTTCAATGACTGTTACGGTTCTGTATAATAAATTTGATATACCAACATTATTACCATTAATTGGAACAAAATCAATGTCAAAATTATTATCATCATCATCCGCATCCACATCGAATAATGTTCATATGTTTATTACTGAAAATATTCTTCATTGATTTTGATTCTTTTGATTCTGATTCTTAATTTTTAATAAAATTTTTATTTTGTTGATTCCGAATGATGAAATCTAATTTTGTTTCGTGATTCCTAAACAAAATCAATGGGGGTGTACCGTGTTAATATTCATTGAAAAAATCATTAATTTCAAACCTGATTTTCATTTTCATATTGCTAGTCAAGATGCCCGAGTGGTCTAAGGGGTTTGTTTCAGGCATAAATTATCCCGAGAGAATTCATTTTGAAAATTTTATGATAAACAGGAAATCACATAGAATTCTTGCAATTCCCATTGAATTTCTTGTTTGTCAATATGAATTTCCAATTGGGATTCCAGTTGGTTGGTTAGTTTGAATATACAAATCGACATAACGTCGGCGTGGGTTCGAATCCCACTCTTGACATTTAAGTTATTTTTTTTTTCGTTGTTGATGATTCTTGTCGTTCTTCTTCTTTGTTGTTTATCATCGGAAAATGAATTGATTGAATTCTGAAGAATTTGTTTTTTGGGAAAAAAATAATAACGGGATTTTTCATTTTTTTTTTCAAATTCAAAAAAAACATTCTAAAAAAAGGAAAAATTCAAACATTTTCAACACAAAAAAACAGTGCTGACATCTATCGGGACGATCAAGTTTATCAACAATGATAAACAACGAGCACACGGCCATCAATTTTTTTCCCATGTGTATTTCTTCGATCCGGCATCTTTTGAATTTTGTTTTTCATTTTCAAAATTTTGAATCAAAGAAATAACGATACCGCAAGAAAAATGGGAAGCGAAAAAGTTGATCTAAAACCCAATCATACTATCTATATTCGTAATCTTAATGAAAAGATTAAAAAAGAAGGTAATTATTTTGTTGATTGAATGAATGAATCAAATTGATTATTTGAGAATGTTTTGGCGGTTTTATATTTGTAGAATTGAAAAAATCACTTCATGCAATTTTTTCACAATTTGGTACAATATTGGATATTTATGCGGAAAAATCATTAAAATTACGTGGACAAGCATTTGTTATATTTAAAGATATTAATTCAGCATCGAATGCTATACGTTCGATGCAAAATTTTCCATTCTACGATAAACCAATGGTTAGTATTTAAAATATTTTTTGTATTTTTTGGAATGTTATTCTCATTCGATAATTCCCTATATATAGCAAATTCAATATGCACGAAAAGATTCGGATTTGATTGCCAAATTGAAAGGTACCTATGTTGAACGACCAAAACTACCACGTTCAGATGAACCGAAAAAGAAGAAAAAAGAAAAACGTATAATGCCAACCAATACAGTGAATGCTGCCGGTATTCCACATTCAGCATTAGCCGAACAACCACCAAATAATATATTATTTTTAACAAATTTACCACCCGAAACAACTGCACCAATGGTACAGGTATTATTTACACAATTTTCTGGTTTTAAAGAAGCACGTCTTGTACCCGGACGGCATGATATTGCATTTGTTGAATTTGAAACCGAATATCAAGCCGGTATGGCTAAAGATTCATTACAAGGATTTAAAATTTCACCAACACATTCGATTAAAATTACTTATGCTAAAAAATAACCCTAATCAATCCACAACCACCATTCATTCATTCATCAATTCATTTTGTTTATCTTTTTTTTCCCCCTCAGCATTCATTTCAAAAAAAAAATTCGAAATAAAAAACCTTTTTTCCCATTTCTCATTTGTTTCCCAAATATATTTTTTAATAAAATTAATTTTTTTTTTCGTTTGTTTCATTTGTTGCGAGCAAAATAGATGAAAATTTTCGTTTGTTTTGTTTTAAGTTTTTTTTTTCAATTTTGTTTTCATTGAAAAAAAAGATTGGTTGGTTGTTGGTTAGCGAAGCAAAGAATAAAAACTTTTTTTTTTCGTTGATAAAATGATGAAAATGATTCGTGTGTTTGTAATGTTTGATGTTTGATGTTTGGTGTTTGATGTTTGATGTGTGTGTGTGTGTAATATGAATCTTGATCCGATTTTTTTCCCCACCGACACAGACGACGACAAAGTGGATAATTTCATTTAGGGGTATTATCGGTGTGTGTGTGTAGGTGTGTAGGTGTTAAATGTAGTGTGTGTGTTTTTGTTTTGAAAATTTGGAATGAAAGAAAATGGATTAACAAACAAACAAAACAAAACAGACAGAAGAAGAAAAAATTAAAAATCAGAAAAAGATCAACAGAAGAAAAATATGATTTTTGTTTAAATTCATCACCATAATCGTAATCGTTCGTTCGTTCGTTTGTTTTATGTTTTTTGTTTGGGTTTGGGTCGGTTCATCGTGTATTTTGAATTTCTTAATGTTTTTTTTTTTGTTTTTTGAATGTCTTAATTGTTTGTTTGATGAAGGAGAGAAAATGATTCTTTTTTTGTTTTCGTTTCAAATTTTCTTTGCATCTTCATGTGCTTTTTTAACGATTGCTAATTTTGAATTATTATCTTCGACCGGTAAATCTTTATATGGTTGTTCTTTTGTACCATGTATCATTAAGATCCATTCTTTAATGAAACCTTGTTGCGATTCCGGTCCAGAATGTGCAACCTCTAAACGCCATATGCCACGTGGATTTTCACCCCATGTATGTGTTGTCATAAATGGCCATTTAACAAAACCATCATGTCCATCATCATCGTTTGGTCGACGACTTAATATCATTGATCTATAATAATAAATATTCAGATGATTTTAAATGGAAAAAGTTCATCAGCAAAGTTTAGTTTTTTAGTTACAACCAAAAAAAACATACTTAGTACCCATTGGTGATATAAGATATAATAAAACATCACCACGACGTGTTGAATTTAATGTTATAACAGCCTGTACATGTTCAATATAATTAACTTCAGTATCTTGATTTTGACATGCATTTGTTTCAATTTTTAATGTAAGGCTACGATTTGTTGGTATTGATAATCGGTCAGAATTTATTGAACCTGCTTCACAATGATAACGTGGTGGTACTGTTTTCCATTTTTTTGATAATGCAACCATTGCACCTGCATCCAATACACCATAACCAAATAAATGATTAAATTCCAACCCTACACCATTCATATTCCAAAAGAAACGTTTTTTTGAATCATACAGAGAATTTCGTTTTGATGTTAATACACATAAATGTTGTATATCACGCCATGTTAATGTTGGACTAAAAGAATGGGGGAAAAGGAAAAAAGAAAATTTTAATTAGATTTTGAATGGAAATATTAAGAAAATATCTGAACACTTACTTGGCTTCTAATGCTAATGCAAAAACACCAGCAGCTTCAGGTGCTGCAGCCGATGTACCTGAATGTGTTTTAGTACAACGGCCATATAGATCAGTTGTTGCAACACCAGTATGTGGATCTTTAGCTCCATTGCTAAAAGTCGATGCTAATGTACTTGAGCATGACTCATCATAATGAGCATTTTGACCATCATTTATAGCTGAATTAATTGATATTGTCCACATTGATGCAGCATAACCATCACAATTACAATCATCATCTTCACCACCATCACCCGAAGCCCAAACATAAATATTACCTAAACCACGTCGACCCTATTTTCGATTGATTGATTATTGATAATGATAATTAAGGGTTAAAACAAAACAAAAAAACAAACCTCATTAACACCACGAACAATTGCACGCATTGTTGCATTTCTAGGACCATCAACAGTTTTACCATCATCAGTTGGTCCCCATGATGCACTATAAATATCGATAAGATCTGGTTCATGTCCCATTGAATTTGCTTCAATCAAATCGGTCATATAAGGTTGATCCAACATACGAATACCGGCAACTTTTGAATCATATGCAACACCAACACCACAAATACCATTATCTCTTTTTGCAGCAACTTCACCGGCACATCTTGTACCATGACTATTAAACCAATCATCAGTATATCGTGGATATGGATATGGATCATTACTACTAAAATCATAGCTTGCTTTTGCATTCTATCAACAACAGAGAAAATTTCCAGGAAAAAAACATTTCAAAAATGAAAAACAAAAATCATTGAATCAAAATAAAAACTTACATAATTATCTTTAAGATCTGGATGCATATAATCAACACCATCATCCATAATAGCTGTTGTTACATTTTTACCGGTTATACCTTGTGCCCATGCTAAAGGGTTAATCAATGAAAACAAATTATTCAAAAGGAGGGAATAACAAACAAACAAAAACAAAAAACAAAACATACCAGCTTCAACATTTAAATCTAAACGTGGTTTACCACCATTTTGTCCAGTATTTTTTAAATACCATTGATATTGAAATAATGGATCATTTGGATATTGTTCTAATTGTAAATTTTCAATTTCATTTAATACTAATGATTTATAGCCACGTTTTATACGACGGAAGCCTAATTGTTGTTGTGCCGATTCGATCTATCCATTTATTTATTTACCATTTTTTTCGCATATTTACAATTTTTTCAATTATTTATGGCGATGAAGAAGAAGAAGAGAAAAACAAGAAAAAACAAAAATAAATGAATAGAAAGGAAAAAGAGAAATTGTTTTATAGGTAAATATTTTCGTTTTTTGGCCATCTACAGCCATCATTGTACATTAAACATTCCTGACTAAATCGGATTTATAATCAAGAGAAAACAAACAGAGAAAACAAACGGAAAAAAACGAACAAAAACGAACAAACAGAATAACGAAAAAACATCTCATTAAAATTTCAATAGGTTTCTATTTCGTTCATTCGTTCTTCCTCGTGCTTTTAATTTGTTCAAATTTTTTTCTCCCGTAAAGATTGCCGTTTTTTCAAACAGAAAAATTAAATTAAATTTTTCTAAATATCAAATTCTGTCGTCGGTCTGAAATATTCAAAATTGAAAAAAATTCTGTTGAATTTTGATTATTTTTTAAAGTATTTTTTTTTTCTTCATAAAAAAAAAGAGGCTAAATTCAGGTAAAAGTTTCTTAATTCTTCCTGTTGTTTTTTCATTCAATTCAATTCATTCAGAATTTTTTTAAAATGCTTTGGTTCTTTCTTTCTTTCTTCTTGCTCTATATATAGAATGACATTTTTAGATTTTCATCAATGAATGAATGAAAGCAAAAGAAAAATGAAAGTTTTTTTTTTGTTTAATGGCAGTGAAGCCAACTTTTCTTTTTTTGTTATCATTCATTCACACACTTAATATCTTAATTTAGTTTTTCTTTTTTCAAAAAAACCAAAATTATCTAGGTAGGTAGGCCAAAAATAACTGTGAAAAATTTCACACACACACACACATCATGGATACATAGATAGGTGTCATATTTCATTGTTTGATAAACGGTTTTTTTTGCTTAATTTTTTTTCAAAAAAACAGAAAAAACTTACCAAATGATCCGAACGTAGTTTACGATAATGACCAATATTACGTTTTGTACGTGCATGTGGTATAGCACGATGTTGAAAATGATATTCACGTTTTGATCCTAATATCTGTACATTGATAATCGATAATCGATAATTGATTATGATGACATCAGCGATGGACAACGATGACAGCAACGATAATAATGATGATGATGACAACGATAATATTGATGATGATGACATCGATAATATTGATGATGATGACATCGATGACAACGATAATCGATGATTGGGCCAATAATGAATATTAATGGAAATACCGAAAAAAAACAAACAAGAAAAAAGCAAAAAGAAATGAGAATATGAAATGAAGTAATCAATCAATCAATCATCGTCAATAAAATGTTTAATGATAAAAATATGAATTTGAAAACGAAAATGAAACAAACAGACAAACAAACGAAACAAACAGACTCCCACACTCGATAAATAATGATGATGGATTTTTCCAATCGATAATTCGATTCGAATTATCGATTGATCAATTATTAGTTTTTGGTTGTTGTTGTGAAAATGGAGAAGGAGGCCCCAATCCAATTATAATTTTTCTGTTTGTTTGTTTGTTTGATATAAATATATTTTTCTTATGGTCAATGTAGTTGTAGTGGTGGTGGTGGTGGTGGGAAAAAAAGAAAAAGCCAAAAGTCTCCCCCTTCGAACCAGAATTATGTCAGAATTCTTGTTCGGTTTCTGTCTTAGAAAATGATGATGGATTATTATTTGGCTATTTTTTTTTTTTTTTTTTTTGGTTCAAAGGAGAAAATAATGATGATGTATAACGGTGTGTGTGTGTGTGTTTGTGGGCGGATGGTTGGTTGAAAGGAAAAGAAAAGGGAAAAGAAAAATTTTTTCGCTTATTTTAGCTTGATGGCAATCAATAAAGATATTCTTTTTCTTTCGGATAAATGTCATCGAAATTTCTTGTTGTTGAGAATTTTGAAATTTTGAAATTTTAAAATTTTAAAATTTTGAAATTTTTCTTCCAAAAAATCACTAAATATATTTACAATTTCGCTTATTTTTAAGGGGAAAAAAATGTTTTGTCACAAGTTTTTTTCTCTCTCGGATTGTTGATTTTTCAAAAAGGAAAAAAATATATTTACTCAACTTGGTAAATGTTTGCTTTTCACTTGCTCTCTCTCTCTCTCTCTCTCTCTCTCTCTCTCTCTCTCTCTTNGTTTTTGGTTGTTGTTGTGAAAATGGAGAAGGAGGCCCCAATCCAATTATAATTTTTTCTGTTTGTTTGTTTGTTTGATATAAATATATTTTTCTTATGGTCAATGTAGTTGTAGTGGTGGTGGTGGGAAAAAAAGCCCAAAGTCTCCCCCGAACCAGAATTATGTCAGAATTCTGGTTCGATTTCTGTCTTAGAAAATGATGATGGATTATTATTTGGCTATTTTTTTTTTGGTTCAAAGTAGAAAATAATGATGATGTATAACGGTGTGTGTAGGTGGGCGGATGGCTGGTTGAAAGGAAAAGAAAAGGGAAAGAAAAATTTTTTCGCTTATTTTAGCTTGATGGTTGTTTGCAATCAATAAAGATATTCTTCTTTCGGATAAATGTCATCGATTTTCTTGTTGTTGGGAATTTTGAAATTTTAAATTTTTCTTCCAAAAAATCACCAACTATATTTACAATTTGGCTTTTTTTAAGGGGAAAAATGCTTTGTCACAAGTTTTTCTCGGGTTGTTGATTTTTCAAAAGGAAAAAATATTTACTCAACTTTGTAAATGTTTGTTTTTCACTTGCTCTATCTCACACTCTGGATCGGTTCAAATAATGAATGGTTTTTCACCAAACCCAAACAAAACATGCAAACTATAGCAATGGAAATAACTATGAAAACAACCGAAACAAAATAGAAAAATAGAAAAACAAAACTTTCTTACCGGACCAAGATTAATAAAACCATAACGTTTGGCTATTTGATGGGCATCAAATTGATCAACATTACGACGAAATCTAATATGAAATGAATTAGTAAAAATTTCTTGTGGATTTTGTTGTTGTGATTGTTCAATATTGATAATAATATTCAGTAATATTATTATTAATGTTGCCATCATGAACATCATTTTTGTTGTTGTTGTTGTTGTTTTTGTTGTTGTTGTTGTCGATTTGTTGTTGTTGTTTAATAATAAACAATTTATTGGCCATTTTCTTAATAACAATAATCTATTTGATGATGATAATAACGATGATGATTTGGTGTTGGTGGTGGTAATGGCGGGGTTAATAGATAATTTTTCTATGGATAACCAATCATTATCACCATCATCATTTTTTCTTATGATTTTCATATATGGATGATGATGATGATGATGATGTTTTAAATCACCACCACCACCACCACCATCATGATTTAATATCGTTTGTTGATTTTTTCTATAATTTTTGTTGTTGTTGTTCTGATGTTGTTGTTGTTGTTGTTGTTGATGATGATGATAACATCCACATATACTTGATCTACTTGATGACATGACCAAGAAAGGGGAAAGAAATGGAAACTTGGAAAATAATAAACGAAGATTTGTTGTTGTTTTTGGTTGAATCACAAGGAAAATGATGCTTTGATTGAATCTTGACTTTTGAAGTTTTATTCTGTTTTTTTTTGTTCGGATTATTCAAGTCATTTTCTTCAACAAATCACCAAGAAAACAGAGAAGAAAAAGAAGAGAAAAATATTAATCTTTGATGCTGGGTTAAAAACGTTTATCAAAACAAAACAGAGAATATTCTTTCAAGAATCTATCAATAGGAAAACATTTTTTTTTGTGAACAAAATACCTATTGGATTATGAAATGTTGATGATGATGATTTTAAAATGAAAGAAAACAGTAAACTTTGATTTGTATTTTGATGATAATCACATTACTTGAAATGAAAATATACGAGAAAAAAAAAGCGAAAAATTCTTTATTCTTGCAACCGAAGAGAAGAATATTCTGTATTGAGTTTCTTTCTTTTGGATGAAAAATGAAATGAAAATTTTTTATTGTTATTTCTGAAATTGAAACTAAACAACCACCAGCACCACTACTGTTGATGCCACCAAAATGAATATTCTTTTCTAACTTAACAAACAAACCAACCGAACAAACAACCTGATAATCTGATATTCTAGCCAAAATGAATGATATATTTTTTCGTTTTTCGTTTGTTGTTGTCCAGTGAATATAGCAAGTGTTTGTAGCCAGTGATGATGGATTTTATTTTATTTTATTTTTTTGTTTAATGGAGAATTCTATCGACGTCAAACTAAAAAACGTGGAAGAAACTTTGGATATATATTCCCTACTTACACATACAGGCAAGAGAATCCATAGAGAATCCAAGAATCCAGAGAGAATCCAGAACGTCTATATAGGTGTTTGTTTCAATAAGGATAACCAAGAAAATATGATGGAATAGCGGTATGATAATTGGGGGAAAGGGAAGGAGACTGAAGGGAACCAAGCGAAAAAATGGAAAATTTTTTCGCTTCAGAATAGAATCGCTTGCGCTTGACAGCAACAAGATTTTTTCATGTGAATATGCGCAAAACATTACATTATTCTTATGACATTTATAAAAATGTTATATGCTATTGCATAATATCATATGTAAAGATAGAATATATAGAATGCGATCCATCGATTTTGAATCTTCTAAGGAATCCAAAGAATCAAATTCTATATATATTCATCATCATCATTCTGGAAATGAGAATCTCCAAAGGAAAAAAAATGAATGAATGAATGAATTCCTATGGTATTCGTGCAAGAATTTTTCTTATTGGATGATGATGATGATGAAGAACTTTCTCTCCCATTCTTTCACTACTTACTGATGATGTGTTCCATTTTGTTTCGTTTGGTTTTTTTTTGTTTATCGAAACCAAACTAAATATAAGTTCAATATAGAGAAATTGTCCATTCCAGTAGGTGGCATTACTATAGTTGATTTTTCTTTCCGGGAGAGAGAGGAGAGGGAATGGGGTGGGAAAGAATATTCTTTATTTTTCTTGTTGAATCAATATGGTCAGTATTTTTGATCATTATAGGTCGAAATAGTCGTCGTCGTGGCAATAATTATCGAAACGAAAATTGATAAAATCGATAGTTTTTGTTTTCTCTCTTTCAAAGATTCTCGATTCTCGATTCTCGATTCTCGATTCTCGATTCTTCTTCTTCTTTAAATTGGATTTCGTCAATGACCTATTCATCTTTATCAATGCACCTTTGCACAAGAAGAAAAAAAAATCAAATTGATTTTTTTTATCCGAATTTTGATAAATTTCGTCTGATTCTTGAATGGAATTATTGTAGCGCAAGAGAGAGAGAGGGGGAGAGAGAGAGAGAATTGCGAACGAATGATTGTCAAATACGCTATTGTCAAATTGAAAATAGATTGATTGATTTTGCGCAAAATTCATTTCATATGTGAATTGCGGCTTTTGTTTGTCTTTTTTTTCTGTTGAAAAGATCCGGTAAAAATTGATTTCGATTTTCAATTTTATTTCTGTTCTTCTTATTCATTCAACGAATTTCAAGAATTTGATTAAAAATTTCAAAACAAAAAAAGTTGATTGATTTTTTTATACGGTTCCCTTAGCTACGAATTGTCTTTTGAACGAAAATTTTCACTTGAAAACTTCGATTTGAAGATTTTCAGCAAGAAAAAAGAAAGAAAATCAAAAGCTTTTTTCATTTGATTGAAACGTTGATGTTTGGATCATTTCATTGGAAATTTTGGATTCTTTTTTCGACTTTTTTTTTTGACAAGAAAATTCTTTACAAATGATGAATTTCTAAATTTATAAAAATAAATTCTGAATTACAATGCGTCGGTGTGTTGTTGTATTGCGTGTTTGTTTGCGTTTTATTTCAGAAGAAAAAAGATTCTTAAGAAAATTGAATTAATGGAAAATTCAATTTCGGTGTGAGAAAGCAGAGAGAGAGAGAGAGAGAGAGAGAGAGAGAGAGATAAATGTGCGAATAAAACGATAACGATAATGACAGCAACATCAACAACAACAACAAATGTGAAGAATGAAATTCTGTGTAATAATTCTCCACTGTTGTGCTTGGTCGAGCTGACAGAATAATAATGCAGAGGCGGTTGGACAATTCTTTCAATCTCTCTCTCCCTCTCTCGTTTATTCTAGTTTTTTTTCCTCTTCTTCAATTCTACCCATCATCATCATCATCATCATCATCATCATCATCTAAAACGGTTTTTTATGACCGAATGGATCCCAAAAGAAAAAAAAATCTTAAATTCTTGTCGACAATGATGATAATCTAGTTCGATGTTTTTTAAAAACAACAACAACAACAACAACAATAGCGATAGGCAACAGCAAGAAAACAAAACAACCAAAAAAAAAAACTTGCCATCATGGAACTTTGAAAGAAATGAAAACATTACCAGTTTCAAACATGATTGACGTCATTCGGCGTTTTTTTTTCTTGGAGAAAGAGAGAGAGCAAGAGAGAGAGAGAGAGAGAGAGTGAGCAAGAGAGAGAGAGAAAGATAATTATCCATCCATTCATCTATATGTCTATCTTACACAATATCTCTCTCTCTCTCCGAATATATCTATATAATGAAAAATGAAAACATATTCGAGATAGTTGGATACTTGAGCTAGGCATTTAGGTATTTATCTCTCTCTCTCTCTTTCTCCCTTTTGCTATAATAACATTAATTTCTCTCACTCTCGTTTGTTTCGATCGGTGTATACGTCATTCCATTGAAAAGAATTTTCAGAATATTCTCTCTCTCTCTTTCACTAATCGTGTTTTGTTCTGTTGGAACACAAATAAAATAATAAAATGATTCTCATCGGATTTCGTTTTCTGTTGCTTGTTATTATTATTATTGTATAGAATTACAGAATTCGTTTCGTTTTTTTGTTTTTTGAATTAACAATTCCAGTTTGAACCTTTTTTTTGTTTTGTTAACGAAAAAACAATAATACCATTTTTGTTTTTTTTTTGGGGGGGTACTAATTCAACTAATGAACAATTAATATTCAAACAAGAATATTCTTGAACCAAAAAAAAAAGAAGAAAGGAATTCTTGTTACAAGGGGGGTTGAAAATATTCTTGCTTGTTACAGGAATTACAAAAAACAAAACAAAAAAATCCGGATAAATTCTGGATGAAAAAGGGGGATGGATGGATGCTGAATGGTTAACGATGATTATGACGATGATGATTATTTGGGGGGGGAGAGGGGAAATTCAATGCAAAATAATTCTGTCATTTTTTTTCGGCAAATTAAATGTACGTTATTGTTTTATTAGGAGGGGATGTATTTTCAAGAGGGGGGATGCCCGGTTTTCACCAGTATTAATCATTATTGATAATGATCGATTTCTCCCTCGAAAACCTTGAATAATGACAACAGCGATAGAAACAGAAAGCAATAAAACTAGCGAACCAAAAAATTTGTTAATCTCTTTTTATGCATCCCTTTCTCTCGATTCTGCATGAAATTGACACAACATCAACATCAACAGCCATCTAAATGTCAAATATTCACTGTTGTTGTTGTTGTTGTCGTTGTCAGATTCGAGATGAAAAACTGTTTGTTTGCTTGCCTGGTTGATGCTTGGTTGTTTGATGATGATTTTTTTTTTGAAGTAATAAAAAGTTTTCATTGCTTGTCATCGATACGAAATTTTCGGTGTTGTTGTTGTTGTTGTTGGAAGCAATCTTGAAATTCGATCGAAAATAACGCAGAATTTTCTATCCAAAAATATTCAATGTCCGAATCGATTGTGTATACGTCAGGGTTGATGGGGGTGATTTTCTGAGTTTGAAAAATTTTTTTCCCCATCTTCTTTCTTCTTCTTCTTCTGGTCTCGTTGGTGGTGTTATCCTTGCCCAAAAATAAAATTAAAAGTTTTTACGCCAAAAACAAAATACAATGTTGTTGTTGTTGTTGTTGTCCCAAAGAATTAATTAGAATGCAAAACTTAATTTAGAAAAAATCTTATATGAAAAAATCTTTTTGTGGCAGAAAATCCTGATTAAAAGTTTGTTTTTGTTTTCTATTTAAACAACAGAATATTTAAATGAAAAGAAAAGAAAATCCTTCAGTGTAGTTAAAGGGTTAAGAAAATCAAACTTAATTACATTTAATTGTCGTTGTTTTTCTCTTGGTTTTTTGTTTCTGCCAAAAACAAAAGAACTAATTAGTTGACAATCGAACCAAACGAAAGAAAAAACATTAATTATTGAAAATCGGAAATTTCCTGAGAAATTTTTATTTTGAAAAAAGGAAAATTTTTCGTAAAATTAAATGGAATTTTGGTTATCGGAATGTTCAAATTCAAAGTTAATCAAATGATCATCAAAATAGCTGAAAGTAAAAAGTTTGTAATATTTGAAAAATTTGAACAAAACTACCCCATTAATTAATGATGATGATGGTGATAATTTGATAAATTTTTTTAGGAAATATTTTCGAAAATAAAAATCCGAGAAAGTTTCTCCACTATTGAATTTCATTCATTTCAAAATTTATTCCTAACCAACAAAACAAAAAAAACAGAATATTCTCCAGAATTCATTCTAGGTTACAAATAATGTGAATTCTTGCTTGTTTGCTAGAAAAAAATTATATTTGAAACGACGGAAAACAAGGGTGATATTTATAGAATTCCATACAGAATATAGAGAGAGAATATTCTGATGATAATTATCTTGTTATTATGCGTTGGAAATATATTTTTTTATTTCATTTCAAACGAGGTAAAATATTCTGTGTCTGCATGTGTGTGGGTGAGAATGTAATTAACACAATCACACCAATGTCATTAAAGTGTGTGTTTGGTGTGTTTTAATGGAATAAATAATGAGAATGTTTTTTTTTTGTTTATCATTTTGAAAATTTTCACGATAATAATGATGGATCGATACATTTTGGTTTCCATATAATTTTTGATATTCGGTTGGTCGTTAACGTTGTTGTTGTTTGGTTGTTGCTGTTTGTTGTTTGTTTATCAAATTTCATCCATACATTTATATGCTTTACGACAATCAGCACCATTACGACCAATACGTATTGCTTCAAAACTAGCACCAAATGGTAATGAACGTTGATTTTCTAACATATAACTGGTTGCATATCTATAGAATGGATGATGATGATGGTAAATTCAGAATCAAATCAGATCAATCGAAGAAAAAATTAACACTTTTTTTCAACTTACCCACCAATCTGTGCAATCAGATTACCTAATTCACGACTTTCACGTGCTGCATTCGATGCACTTTCACAAATGGAACGTTTTATACATTGTTTATCTGTTTGTAAAACGGATTTAACATAACCTTGTATCATTGATATGCTTGCTTGTGCAGCATTATCCATTGTATCACGTAAACGACTGGTTGTCGATGTTGAACGTGCACGTTGTCCAAATGATGATTTTAATACTTCTAACATCTTTGTAATTTTTTAAAAAATTTAAAAATTTGTAATTTTAAAATTTACAAAAAAATTAACCCTTTGAACATACCTTAACAAAAACATTCAATACTTGTCTGGATGTAACCATTGATTCTTCATTTGTACCAAATAATAATTTTAACATTGTTTTTATAACATTTTTTGTATTTAAATATTGTAATATTTCACGTTTATCTTGGCTTAAACGTAAATTACGATCATCTAAAAAATTCAATGAATCTGTTGAATTTTGAAAAAAATTTATTTGCGGCTGCTGTTGCGGTTGCGATTGCGATGATAAACCATGATGATGCTGCTGTCCATTTGTAAACGATAAAATTATTACAAAATTAATCAATAAAATTGTTAAAATTTTGTTAAACATTTTTTAAAAAGTTTTTTTTTGTAATTTTTTTCTTGCTTTAAACAAAATCGAATCGTCATCTAATACTGACACGATATGTGTGTGTGTGTGTTAAAAAAAAAATTAACCCAAAACTAGATAACGGGGAAGAAAAAAACGAAAAAAGTTTTTAAGGTAGGTCATCCGGATAGATCAATGTCATCATTGAATACCGG